GAACCCTGACCTCTGCCCCGCCCCAGTCCCTCTCAGCCCCAGCTCCCGCCCCTTCTCACCGTCCCAGGCGGGACTCCCGGCTCCCGCCCCGCTTCACGGACTCCCAGCACACCCCAAAAGAGGGGGGGGTCCCCAGCTGGTGGGGTGGAGCTGCAGCCTCCAGCCTAGACCTCGGGACTCAACCTGCTCCAGAGCACACACAGCTACCCCGAGCCACCGGTGAGAAGCCCCTGGGGTGGGGGTGGGGGTGGGGGTCAGACCCATCTTAACTCTTCCGCCCCCTTTCTGGACTCAGTCCCTCCCCACCGACCATGGTGGCTGACAGCCACCCCCTCCCTTCCCGAATGCAGATGGAAGAGGCTTCTCCACGTCCAGGGGCCTAGCAGGTCTCCTTCCCCTCTTGAGCGAGGATGTTGGCTTCTAGCCCCCTCGGAGTATGAGTTCCAGCCCTTCTCCCCTTTCTCCTTCCTCTCTTTCATAGACCCAGGGGCCCAGGGTTTGCTTTCTTAGGGCCTAGGAGTCCCAGACCCCAAGTCTTTTCTCCCCCAGGGTCCAGGAATTGGGGCCCTGAGCCCCTCCCTCGGGCCCAGAAATCCAGGCCCCCAGCCCCTCCTCCCTCAGACCCAGGAGTTCAGGCCCCCAGCCCCTCCTCCCTCAGACCCAGGAGTCCAGGCCCCCAGCCCCTCCTCCCTCAGACCCAGGGGTCCAGGCCCCAGCCCCTCCTCCCTCCCCCGGAGTCTCAGACCCAGGAGTCCAGACCCCCAGCCCCTCCTCCCTCAGACCCAGGAGTCCAGACCCCCAGCCCCTCCTCCCTCAGACCCAGGAGTCCAGACCCCCAGCCCCTCCTCCCTCAGACCCAAGGATCCAGGTCCCTAGCCCCTCTTCCCTCAGACCCAGGGGTCCAGGCTCCCAGCCTCCTCTTCCCTCAGACCCAGGAGTCCACCTTCAGACCCAGGAGTGCGGGTCCCCAGCCTCCTCCTCTCCCAGTATCCAGAAGTTGTGGCCCAAAGCCTCTCCGGTCTCTGAGTCCTTCAGGCTGTTTCCCTGCTGCGTCCAGGTGCAGGGCAGCCTCCTGACCTCCACGGTAACCCTGCCTCCTGCGGGGGTCCTGCCTTCCCCCCAGTCCAGGTCCCTATCCCAGCCTTGGCAATGACCCTGGCGGCTTCCTCCCAGCGCTCCCAAATCATTCGCTCCAAGTTCCGCTCTGGTGAGCTGTAGGGAGGGCGTTCTCTGGGCTGGGGAATACCCTAACTCTGGGAGTGTGCAGGGTGGGGTGAGGTGGGAGGGGGGTGGTGGGGCCCAAGAGGTATGTGTTTTTCTATGCAAAAGAGCACTCGTGCATAAAGGAGGCCTCAAGTTGTGTTGGCTCAATGAGTGTGCAAATGGCTAATGCAATGTTCCTGGGAACGGTGGGGAGTGGAGTGGGCGGGTAGAGGTGGGTGTGCAGAGGGTCAAAGGAACAGGGGCCTAACCTGACACGCGTGCAAAGTGAAGTGCACAGAGCGGAGACTTCAGAGCGGCCCATGTGGGACAGTGAGCTACCAGGCCCCGAGAGTGTCAGCGTTGTAGTTGAGGTCCCAGCGTCGGTGGAAAGTGTGCAAGTGAGTGAAACCAGAGGCCAATGCCCCAGTAGGCAGAAGGCACTTGAGTGTGCCAATGAGTGTGCTAGCTACGCGGCTGGATGGGTGCAAAGACACAATGACCCAAAGGAGCAAGGAGCGTGCAAAGAGTGCAGGTACACAAGAGCAGAAATGTGCGAAGGGCCCAGATCCTGACTGTGCACGTAAGTGTGCTACTGTGGCTGGGTGAGGGGCAAGCCAGAGTGAGCCGAGGGTGAGGAGCGAGTGTCAAAGGTACACACAAGGGCACGGAAGTGGCGTGTGTGCAAAACTAGGGCCCAGGGGAATGCGCGTTCGAAGGTGGGTGTGCAGAGGAGGCGACTGTGGGGAGGCCTGGAGGCAGCGCAGGAGGCCACAGTGCGTGCGAGGCGGAGAGCCTGGATCCGGCGGGCGAGGTGCAAATGGGCCAGGCTGCCAAGAGGGAGGTTGTGCCAGGGGGTGGGTGGGCACACACTCCTACAGGGGGCAGGTGGAGCCGGGGGCAGGGCTGCCTCCTGCCTGCACGCTGGCTGGCACCTCGCCCCAGAACTTTTCCGGAGGGCTGTGTGTGTAAGGGGGCTGGGCACCCGCGTCCCGCCAACAGCAGCAGCTCGAACCGCCTGCCAGGCCGGGCTCCTGGACACTCCCTCCCGCCTCTCTCCTCCCACTCCCTCCTTCCCTCTACAGTCCTCCAGCTCCGGATCCACAGACGGTATCAGGACCCGAGTAAGTGTGGGCCCTGCACGGGAGGGGATGGCGGCCCCTCTCCCCCGGGGCCCCCTGGAGTGCAGCTGCCGGGTTTCCGGGCTGGTTCCAGAGCCCCAGTCCCTCTGCCCTGGAGGCACGGAGACCCATCCTCTCGGAGGTCCCAGGAGTACAGGTCCCCTGCACCCCACCCCTCGGAGCTCCTCGGTGTCCCCACTTCCAGTGAAATGCGTGCACCCAGAACAGAATGCCCCAGGCTCCACCTTTGGTGCACACACGAGTCTCAGGACGTGGCTTTCGGCTTCTCTCTCTCTTCAAGGCCAGGAGTACTGGCCCCACCCCTGTTCCAGCAAACCCCCCAGATCCTTGATCCTCAGCCACCGCACCCCTTGGGGACTGAGGCCGGGATTCCTGCCTTTATGGAGCGTGGAAAAGTCTGGCTTTCGAGCCCTTCTGCCCATAGAGCCACAAGTCGGGGCTCCCAGCTCCCACCACTTGGGTTTCACTCCCTGTCCTGCTGCCCCACATGGGGGTAGGGGTAGGGGTGGGGGGGACCGAGGCCTCTGGGACCCTCCTTCCCACACAGCCTTTTCCTCCCGGCCTGGCTGGCTGCCTGAAGGCCTCGCGGGTCCCTTCACCACCTCTCCAGTCTCCGACCCAGATCCGTGGATCTCAGCCTCCGGACTGGCTCTGGCCCCCATCCCAGCCTCGCCCTCCGGCCCCGCCTCCTTCCTCTCCAGTCCTGGGGTCCTGCGCCCTGAGCCCCAACGCTTCCCTTGGAGGCCCCTGAAGAATGTGAGTCTGCACCAGAGTGAGGGGAAGCCCCCCTGGCAGTCAGGCCTTGGTCCTCTGTCCTGCTGGCCTCTGCCCCTCGCTGGTGGTGCCAAGCTGACCCCCTACTTCGCGTGGGGCTGGGCGGGGAAGGAGGAACAGGGCTGTGGCAATGACATCACACCTGCTTTTCCAGGCGACCCCCAAGACCTCCCAACGCTGGAGGGAGGCCGAGCCCCAGGGGAGCCTGACCTACCACCAGTACCTGCCCCCAGAGCCCAGACAAGGGTCCAGGGCAGACTCCCAGGCCCCAGGGCCGGCCGGGGCTGCCCCGGGGCCGCTTCTGTGGACAGAGACAAACGCACAGCAGCCACCTCCTAGGTATGACCCCCATTCCTGTCCTTCTCCTTCACACCCAGAGTCCAAGGTCAGGGGTGATGGCCCGTAGACCCCACCTCCCCCAGGAGGCCAGAGTCCAGCCCACAGCCCCTCTCCCTGCAGTTCCCCGGAGCCCCCCTCAGCCCGAGTCCTGCCCTGTCCCCCCTTTCCCACGCCCAGGAACCTGCCTCCTGGGTTGGTCCTCGGAGACCCCGATGCTGGGCCCTGTCCCCTATCTTCACGCGCAGAATGCCTTTCCTCTGTGCGCCCTTAACCCATTTCCCTCCCGGCCATCGATCATCGCAGGATGAAGGCCACCTCTCTCCCCGCGGGCTTCCCCGGGGTCTCCAGCCCCGCGCCGCCTCCGCACAAGTTGGAGCTTCAGACCCTTAAATTGGAGGAGCTGACGGTGAGTGTGGGGCAACTTCCCGGGGGACCTCTCCCTCCGTGGGGGGACCAGGAGGCTGACCCTGCGGCTTCTGCCCATCAGACCCAGGAGCGGGTGTGCATGTGGGTGTGCATG